GGTGGTGTGAGTATGGAGATTCCACCCAAACCAGCACCATAGCCAAACACCAACCACATATTCCACATATACATGCATCATATGCTAACCGGATAGAAAATCCATACTGCCATCGTTAAAGTAGCTCCCACACCAATTCTTTAATAGTCATCTGCCAAAGATTAACTTAACAGAAATTGAATGTAAGCTGAATGACATGCATGTACATTTATATGCTTCTAATGATGATTCAGGTTATAAATAGATTGTGTTATGCATGATCATGTATATATGTAGGAAAGGGTTATGACCTTGTATATTTATATATGCTCATGCTAACTGTCATGACTTGGAGATTTTTATTTACTACTCTACAATTAAAAGTACAGAGCATATGAAGAGTTAAAACAAGAGGACATTAATTTATTTACCGTCTTTTTGGCTCGATACTCTCTATCCTTTCTAATTTTATCCTCCTTCTTTTTCTTCTCTTCTTCCTCAGACAGTGGCGGTCCTGGTGGACGTCCTGGTCTTCGACTGTTTCCTGCTTCATCGGCTCCACCCTCTGCCATTAACTCTCCCTTGTGACAGAGACAATATGAGGAAATTACTAATTAGGGTTAGCTGATTTCATCAAACAAGTAATACTTATGTAGATCCAAGCTTTCCTTTGCTGACAAATAGAAAATTAAGAAAGATTTCATGCTAAGATAGTAGAATAATTGAAGAAATGACAGGGAAAATGATGCAAAAACAACAAATTAAGCATGCGTATATTCAAATAATGATAATGAAAAGATTGATAGCTTCCGCACCTGAATCTCCACCAAGATATATATGAAAAGATGGAGAGATTTACTGTGGAGAAAGAAACACAACCTTTGGGATAGGATCAATCGATCTGAGAAAGAAAAATGCCATTTAATTGCTTTGATGTATTTTATAGGAGAAAAGCTACGTGGAAGTAACTTGAGCTAACCTAACACTCGCACTAATAATTGCAGCAAGTTGCCCCGCTAGTCACTGCTTTATTCTTCT